GTAGAAGTAACTGATAGTAATTTCGATTTATTCAGATAAATAAATAAACCATTTTTAGACTTTGTTGACAGTGCGGACACTCTCAATGAATGAAGCTTGACGTAAATATTGTAGCATTTACCGTACACTGTCAGCTAGTGATATTTCATACAGACATATACAAGATAGTATTATACATCTGTCACCGTAACGCCATAAGTTACAGCTTGCCGTAGTTTTGCGGTATTTTACGGAGTATTTTCATCCTACCATATTAGGAAATGCGAATTCCAAATATGTAACGATTACGCGCGTAAGCGTCCTGTAATAATAAAAACAAACATGGCTGCAAACAGAGTTTGACCGGACTCCACACAAAGAAGTTCGCTTATTCTGTTCTAAACATTTTGAATTTCTGCATTCCCATGGCGTATCCTTAGAAGGAAAAGATGTATAATAATAAGGTTATTACGAGAATAACACAAAGTATGCACTCAGACAGTACGCCGGGCATCGACCTCCGCTGCGCGTCGGTCGATACTCCAGCTGTACTGTCTTTGTGCATACTTTGAGGTATTCTCGTAATAACCTTATAGTAATATCAATGTTTGCTATTATGTTCAGATGTGAGTACGTTTATCCCGACTACCACCTTGTTTACAACTAATGAGTTTACGTCCGTTGACATTACTACAACAGAGCCAGGTAAGCACTCTAATTGCTGTAGTCATGCTGCCGTATAGAGGCAATATGGAGAAAAAAGGAATTTTCTGTAAGAGATACTGCATACCGATGACAGGATTGTTTTTTTTTTGTACCACGCGTTGAATGGACCATTGGCGCACATATTCACAGATTTGTATCAAACATCCCATAATAATCAGTGCACATGCGTAGTAGATAATCAATTTTCTATTAACGAATATATAGCTGGGGATGCAAATTATTTTCTCTATAACTCGTAGTCCAATGTATTTATCCAGAGAAAATATCAGCAGCAATCAATACTAGCAAATGACATGCTTCGTCCACATTACATCTTTATAATAAATTATTATTAGTTAATTAAATATTAATTAATAAATATTGCTGTCGATATCTTGTTTGAAACGCGAGAACAACATGTGTCAGTAGTATTTGATTCAGTGTGTGCGATGGCGTAACGAATGAAACTATTTGGATAACTTAAAAAATTCGAGATCTTGGCGGCCATTTACAAAAAACGTCATTGTTACCCACGTCTCCAGTGTTAAGAATTGGTCATTTATTACTCTGGAAATGTGTCAAACTTGCTACGATTTGAATGAATTAGCGTAAGAGACGACGTTTTACCACACGGATATAAATATTGTGACATTAATTTTAAGTGAAAATTAGTTTTAGAAAACAGAGCCCTTGATATGTGAATAAAAAACACACATGTTTTGATACTTTGCAACAACCTATTGTACACGTTTATTTTTAGACTGCTGATACAGTCGCTGGATTGTGTTGTCAGCAGCATTTGAGATACATAAATCCTGTCCCCCCACCTGTGGCATAATGGTATGTCTCAGACAGTGGCGTGGTGATTGTGAAATACCTTGAAATGTGCTGAGCCCAGCATTGCTGGTAATGAGAATAGATATGACGTCATTGACCCGACTCTCCTACTTTAAATTGGTTGAACTTTGATAAAAAGTGGTTTAATCCACTACCAAAATTGCCATCCTCTGTACCCTGATTTATCCGCTATTCGGAGATATTTATTTTATTGTTTGCATGGCCAAACAACCTTTAGTCAGGAAGGTGACCAGACTTGACTCTGTAATATCCTGTAATGTTGATTCCTGACTCCATTGAGCTGTCTCTATACTAAGGTACATATGCAAACGTGCTGTGCAGTAATCCCCGCTAATGAACAGAAACCGTAGACGCTCACTGCCCGAAATACCCCCGCTGTACGGGTGTTACTAGTAGCAGTAGATAGCAGTGCAGTTCCACGAGTTTAAATTGCAATGCAGCTGCTTCGACAGTGTGCCAGATATGGAGGATATGTGCATTGCTGTTCACCGGAGAGTGGAGAGCTCCCTAAAGCATCGATCAGGTCTTTAGTTTCCATCGTTTTCATCCCGTAGTATTTATTTATTGAAATGAGGGAAACCTTATATGTTGTGTAGTTTTTATTTATTGTATTCCGTACCGGTGTATTTCCTTCCCGGCACTGCCCAGTGATATACTTTCACCAAACGATCCCCACCCCGTGACAGCGGGTGATCTGACGGGAGAAGACTAATAAGATAAGCAGGCAACAAGAGTCATATATTATTAGACCTTTATTGAAGTGTCATGAATTTGTTTACGCGTCTGTTGACCGACTTCTTTAGTTGATTACTAGCGAATTGCTGTGTTATGTCTGGCATCGTTTAGGCCATTGAGGTTCTGAACGGAACTTGACTCAGTGATTTGGAACTAATTACGAGATAACCGTCGCTATTTGGACTACTTTTTCTGACAGTTGGTATTCGTAGTTATTAATGTAGTGAACGGTTAATCAAAAGATATGACGTATTCAGTACTTAGTGTGATTGGCTGTATGATTGAAGGTTACGCCTTAGAGTCTTTTTACTGCATTGTAATTGGTTAAGGTTTTGAAAATGAATAAAGAGAGTTTGAGTTGGTCTTGGCGAGTACTCCACGACAGAGGCAGTCTAATAGTCCAGTCCTGGAGAGTCTTGGGCAAGTCTTGGGTCAGCCTTGCGATAGTCTTGGGGATTTTT